AAAGCCGATTGAAAGTTTCAGCAACTGTATCCAAAGACAGCAACGGGGCAAGACGTTTGCTGCAAAAAAGCTGGCAAAAACTTCAGAGCTAAGAGCCAATTTCTTAACGTTTTGATACTTCTCAGTAAAAGACGTTAACGATCCAATTTCCCTAAACAATTGCGCTGAGCAAGAGCTTGTGGATGTGATGGTGGCTGCAAAAAAACCCCTTCTTTGTAGCTTTCACTGCCATCTCACAGGCTTTCATAAATGTCCTATAAGATGTTCTTACCTCCTCATTATGAGTTTGCTGCCACACACCTAGCTGTCTCAGCTCCCGTTTCATTCCCCTGAGTTCCATTGTATACCAGGGGGACAATTTAGTGCAGGAGTGGGGAGGGCGTTGGGGGGCAATTTCATTGATGGCTTCAGAGAGATGGGAATTCCAATCCTCTATCAGCGCATCTAATGAGTCACCGGAGGGCATCAGATACTGCAGAGCATTCTGGAATCCCATTGGACCCATAAGTCTCCGTGGGCAAGCATTATTTCCCTTGTCGCTTTGATGGGGGGTGGGTTGGATATTAAAGCAAAGTGGTCTGGCCGTGGCACTCTTCCTTATCTACCAGATCCATATTTATCCCCATGCCAAAAATCAAGGCTAGCATGTGGCCTGCCTGATGTCTGGGAGAGTCCTAGTGCCGCCATGGATGACACCAGGTCCACAGCCTTCATGGAGTCCACAGCGTCAGCATGGTCATTGAAGTCCCTGAGAACTATCAGTTTCTGAAACTCCAAAGCCCAGCACGCTACCCACTCCAGCAGGCTTGGCAAGGCTGTCTGCTGGTGTGCTAGGTGAACGGTGCACCAAACAGACAGCCAGATTCTCCTCAGCATCCCAGACCAAGCCAACTCCAAAGCAACGAGTTTAAGTTACATGCAGAAAGGTATTGGCTGGATATTAGGAAAAACCTTTTCACAGAGTGGTTCAAAGGTGGAATCGGCTGCCTAGGGAGGTGGTTAGCTCCCCTTCACTGACAGCTTTCAAGAAGAGGCTGGACGAATATTTGTCAGAGATGCTTTAGGCTGGTCCTACATTGGGCAGGGGGTTGGACTAGATGGTCTGTATGGCCCCTTTCAACTCTATGATTCTATAATGCTCGCAATTGGAACGGGGAGTCCCCTAATGGTGAAATCCTCCTGGATGAGTATTGCCCACCCCTTCCCCTGCCCCACAGTTCGTGACTGATGAAGGACTGAAAAACCTGGAGGAGTTCGCTCTTTCAGGACGACTGTCTCACCCTCCTGAGTCCAGGTTTTGGTCACACACACCAGGTTGACCTTTGCAGTTATATAACTGCAGTGTCACAGTCTTATTATTGATAGACCTGGCATTGAACAGCAGCAGTGATGAAAGGAGAATATTTCTTCCCAGCCCTCTCACGTACATCTCTCGGGATGGGACAGAGGTTGGAAGGGAACTGAGCATAACTATACCCCGTTCTCCTTCCATCCCAAGACCTCTTCCCATCTCCCTAGTCCCCTGATCCCTGGGATCCCCAGCCCCGGCCTGGCATCCTTTGCACTGGCTATAGCCAGGGTTGCTAGCTTTGATTTTTGGCATGGGGATAGGTTCCCTCCTATCCCACCATACAATATTCGTTTACAGTTTAGTGCTAACAACATTTAATAAATTCATCAACAGTAAAACATCCTAGCACAACTAATTTAATGTATCTAAAGCCCTATTCTTTTTCTACCTATTCTACCTCTCTATAACTAATTACTCTTGTTATTCCTTCCCACCCTTCCAAACATTCTAACTACAACAAGCCCTCTTTATTATTGCACCTTCGTAATAAGTAATACAATTAGAAGCCCTCTGATTAGAATTGATAATTCAGGGGCAAATCATAG